CGAATTTTGCAATTTTCAAATTTGGGAGTAGCAATATTCTTAAAATTGCCAAACTATTAAATTTCGAAATTCATAAATCTTTGTATCTTTAGATTCCCGAATTCCTATATATCCTAATCCCTACATATCCAAATCGTTAGATCTCCAAATCTCTACATCCCCAAATTGCTAGATCCTTAAATCCCCATATCCTGAAGTCCCTGCATCTCCAAATCTATACATAGATTCTTAAATCCTTACATTTCCAAGTCCCTGTATATGCACATCTCTACATCCCCAAGTCTCTACATATCCACATCTCAACATCCTCAAGCTCCTACATATCCACATCTCTGCGTCCCCAAATTCCTAGATCCCAAAATTTCTATAAAGAGAAGTATTGCCATTTCGACAATCTTGTGTTAGTACCTTTATACACAGGATAATAAAAAGAATCGATTAAACTAACAAAAAAATTGGATTGCATTAAAGAATAAAGTGTAATTGCACTTAACGGGTTTACCGGTCCATACAAAACATATCATAAGAACTCAGAACCTACAACATGATTTTTTCTTTTATTAAAAAAATAGCAATAAACCCAATTCTCAGAATTTCCTTATATATTACATCTGCGCCATCTTGTGACTACATGTAAATACACTTTTTACCGCGATATTTGAAATTCCTCTGTAAACACCATACTCACATTTTTCCGTAAAGAATCTCACAAATAAGGTTACTAAAGGTTATTCCTTTGTTTATTTAATTTATCCGTGCTTACTCGAGGTTTTTAGGTGTGTCACAATAATTTTGTGACTCACTGTAACGTTACATCACGCGAGTAAAACGTGAAAGAGCGACGTGTAAGTATGGGAGAGCCGCCGTGAGAATTCATTCGGTAGATCTGATTCCAGTTCGTGGCGGGAATCGATTGTCGACGCGCGTTAAGGGGCCTTCATCTTTTTCTTTCTGCGCTTTATTTTTCTTTATTCCTTCGGCACGGCTTTTTCTTTGTTTTCCTGTATTCTTTGATGGCTTTTCGTCGTCGTGGATGAGTCGAGGGCATCCACGATGAAAAGCTGCGTCGATGCTGAACGGGCATCGGAAGAGACGAACGGATACGTCGATAGGTGAGCTTGTACACTCCGGGAGAGAAATATTGCTAGGTGGATTAGTTGCTTTATGCAGAAATATAGCGCGGTTGTAAATTTTCTTAATGTGCTTAACACTTTGTACTCGAGAGGCGACTTTCAGGCGTCATTTGATTTATCACAATAACTTAAAGTAACCATTTTTTAACTAATTCTATAATATTATATATGTACGAACATAATGTGATATTACACATGTGATGTATAAACACAATATGATATTACACATATCACGTACAAATATAATGTGATATTACACATGTAATGTATAAACATAATGTGATATGATACATGTGATGTATAAACATTATATAATATTACACATGCGATGTATAACATTATGTCATATTACACATGTGATGTATGAACATATCAAACAGACAATAGTGGAAATTATTAGTACAGGAATAATAACCTCAACAAAATCCATTCAACTTTTTATCCAGTAGATTTTGAAGTTGCTGTTTGCAAACAATAAAAATCGAGTGCATGTTTAATTTATTAACTTGGTATACTTAATCTTAAACTTCATAATTATACATTTTATATTCGTGATGGCGTCCATTAGAAATGGGACATGGATTAATACTTGTCAGTGACACAGTTTACCTTCAGATTTTAAACAGAGAAGATTGTCCGTAACAATTAATTATTGAAAATGTACAGTATAGCGTGGTTATAAATTTAGTTAGGAATGCAAATATCAACGCACATTGATTATTCAATTTTAATCAACTAATTATAATATTTTTTTCTTCTTTGACTTTTTTTTTTGAACAGTCATTCAAAAGTTATTACTATTTTACATAAAATTACAATCTGTCATAGTCTTTAACTAGTTCACAGTCAAGTCAAAGGTCCTACGTTCAAAATAAGAAAACTTGATAGTAGCAAATAATTATCCAGAAAGTGTTGCAATCTTGTTGAAATATAATGTGGTCGTAAATCTTATTGACCTGTAAACAGCACATGATATATGTCTATATGACTTTATGATGTCTGTTAGGAATGATAAGTGTTAAAACTTGTTGACAAGTATTCATGTTCGTCGATTATTGAGTTTTTATTGATCGATTATATAGGCTTCTTTTTACTGCTTTGATTGTTGAATAAATTATTTCAGTTTCATATAAAGTTGCTGTCTATCGTTAGTATTTAACATTATAATCTAATATAAAATAGAGATATTATAAGCTCTGGTTAATTATAGTCTATAGTTTAATTATAATCCCTAGCTTCTAAATATAAAAGAATGTATATAACAGATAATTACCGAAAAAGTGTAGCAATTGTATAGAAGTATAGCTAGGTGGTAAATCTTGATCTATAAATATGTGCTTCATTTAAGCTTGATTAATTCGAAAAATAAAGAGTGCTCGTAATGTGATGCAGCTAATATTTAAACCTTTTAAAATTGCAATATTAAGTATTTCAACATTGCAATATTAATTTTAAATATTTAAAACTTTTATATTAAAATTTTTAGCATTTAACATTTTTATTCAAAGCTACAACGAGTGTTCTAATTTTCAAATTGTCACAGCTTCATGCTTTCAAACTTACACATTTGTAAATCTACGTATTTGCTCGGTTTTAAATTTCAAGAATTTCAAAACATTCAATCGTAGAATATTCTGATCCTTAACTCTTAACATCTTCAAACTTTTAAAGTTTCGAACTTTCAAAATTCCTGAATCTTCCAATCTTTAGATCTTCATATCTTTGAATCTCCAAATTGTCGAAGTTCCAAATTTCTCAATCTCCAAATCTGTAACTTTTTACATTTCTGAAGTTTTGCTTTTTACAAGTTTTTAAACCTTTGATATTTGCAAGGTTGAAGTTCTATGTTTTTAAATTTCCCAGTCTTTGAAATCTGCAAGGTTGAAGTTTCATGTTTTCGAATTTTTCAGTCTTTGCAAGGTTCAAGCTTCATATTTTCGAGTCTTTCCATTCTCGAATCGATAAACCTTCAAGATTCTGAAATTTTCAAATTAATCAAATTTCATGTTCATCAATTTTTTACTTCAGAAGGTTTCTATGATTGAAATATACGAATTTTCAAATTTTTAAACTTGTTAAGTTTCAAATTTACAAATTTTCAAATTTTTAAATTTGAATTTCATTTATCAAAGTGATTCTGTCTTTCTTTACTGCTGATAATAGTTTATACAAAATGAAAGTTTTTCTAAGTATTTTAAATATTGAACAAAGTTGGCAACTACCCTAATAAAACGACTTGTAGTTAATAGCTTTTTCCGTTTTATTGTTCAGAATTCTATAGCTGTAATCTACATACACTCGTATGTGTTGTATTATCAGTCGACCGCGCTGCTCCTTCATTGTAGGAAAACACGTATTAGTTTACAGATCGCTGACATTTATGACTAGGCTATACGTGTACAGTTACTATACACTTTACGATGAACATTGCAGCTGCACACACAGTGATAAAAAATTAAAAAAGAAACGTGTATATTTATAAACAGTAGAAAATACTTTTAACTTCGAAACTTTGTTAGGAAATAACAAAGTTAAGTTAGTTAGGAAATAATTTTATTGAGAATAATAATATTTATTAAACATTGATTTTATTTTCAAGTTATTCGTTGCCAGGTTAAATCTTGATTTTTACGAAACTTTTATGGTTAATAACAGTTTTAAGGAACAGCGACGATTAAGTTATAGAGAAAAGTTGCTTAGGAACATTTCCTTAATAATATACGTCAAGGTCATTGGCTAGGTCCCTCCTTCTCAATATTTACTTTAAATTATTATGAAAGGTGTTAGAGTAAAATTACCCCATGTTTTGTATCTAATATGCATTTTATTGTTGGCCAAGTACTTAGCTAACAGAAGTAAACAAGAATCAATATTCCATCTCTGTTCGAACAAAAGTTCTATCGTCTTTCTCATAACCTCACATTTCCTTTGATTGGACGTCTATCATCAGAACATATATACAAAATCAATGATGATAGACGTTAAGATCGCGTTTCTTCCCGCCAAATCTGCGTGCACGTGTACAATATAAATAGTTCATGGTTATACAATGTGTCTCAAAATAGCCGTACGCAATGAAAGTTACGAACAAGTATCGCTTTACTATTCTGCAATTTACAACTTCGTATTTTTCGAGATGTAAACAATGACAAATTAGATATTGAAATTCTCGGACAACCAATTGCAAAATGGTAAAGGACTTTTTGACTTGTATTTATCCAGTTTTCGTATATGTACAATGTTTTTGAGGCACTCTATATAGGTACGTGTCTATCTCTTCCTTTTTATCCTTAATCCTGTTAACAGCATTAAATTCTCGACTGATTCATGCATCTTTGTCGTAGATGTGTTAAGCTGGACAACTAATTGATTGTTAATCAATCATGTAACACTGAGACAATAATACACCGGTAGTAAGTCTATTTTATAAACGGCTGGCTGACTTTTCTAAAAGCATAGTACGAAGACCTGTCCTACTCAGTACTTTACAGGGTGTCTGAAAAATATTCACTCCATCAAAAATCCAGGACTTATTCTTCTTTCCATTTATCATTTTATGGTCTCATATTTTATTTTCGAGATGAAAACAATAGAGAGGAAAGAAAGATATTTTTTAATTCAGTTTTAAACCAGATTGTAAATGATATTACTGCAGAATTATAATTTTTTTATAACTAATACTTACCTTCAATTGTTTAAAGTTCGTGAAAATAAATGAACAACGAAGTCATCTTTAATTACCATCATCTTTAATCTTTAATTGTAATATTTACCTTAGTTTTATGGAATATGATATATGAACTATGTAACGATATATGAATTATATGACGATATATAAACTATATGAACGATGTAATCGTGTTTCAGGGATCGTGGTGTCGAATGCTGGGGCTGGTGGCGTACCAGTTGGAATTGCGGTGGCCAGACAGAGATTACAGCATCAAGAAACTTCAACTTCCATGCGCAATGTTTCTCTGAGCCATCACACCTCGCATCACGCGAGCTACCATCACTTCCAACCCGACAATCTGGGTAAGTTCACGACTATTATTTCCGTTTTGAAGTGAACGCGTGCCCTCTTTTCTTCGTCGTCCCCAGTTTTATTAGGAGATAGTTTGCCAAAACTGTAAATTTCATACGTTGAAGTTAGATGATGTCTCCGGCTTGTCGAGTACACTCGGGCGCAACTTACATAGCTTACTTCCTTTAGCTAACAATTTAATGGGCCAACACTTTGTACAGTTTTTTATATTATTTTTTATTTGTTACTCGGTAGAATTGTACTTGAGTATACGCTGCAAGATTATTAACTTGCAGTAAGGTTGGATAGAGTAGAGACAAGGTGAGAAATAATACTGCAGGAAAATTCAAAAGCAGCTATCAAAATGTTGAGGGTACTTTCGTCTCAAACGTTTTTAAGTATTTTTAGAATTTTATTTAAAAAACGATTGTTATACTTGATATACGTTTATATACACCTTGTGGTAGTGATCAAATTTTATTTATCAATAAATTTACTTAATGTAGACTGAATTATAAACATATATCATGGAATTGTAGGATTACTCTATTATATGTATAGTTATTCAAGGCCATTCTACTAAAAAGTAATAGTAAACTATATTTTTAAAGCGTTACATCGAAATTATCAAATTACCAAATTTAAAAACAGTCGACTTTTTAATTTTGAAACGAAAGAACCAAGTACGGAGGTTCACCTTGCACCTGGGTGTACGTGTAAATATTTCAAAATTTGCAACGATGTGCTGGAGAGATCAATCAATTTGAACAGATACTTGACAAGCTGTAGCTTGTGCAGACTACTTCTGTTCGCTACTATTAATAATTAGGAACAAGGTTAGCTATTACTTATTATCATGAAAGGTCCCCATAAAATTGAACAATCTCGTACGCTTCAAAACTATTTCTGCGCCTGTATATTTGTGCCTCCCATATCTCATGCCATAACATACTGTGAAATCATTCCAATATGAAATATGTTGTCTCTCCATTTATCGCAATACAGGTGAAGACATAAATCAATGCTAAACAAGTTTTATGGGGAAAATTAATGCTTGTCTAAATCAGTCCTTGTTCCAGTTGAAGAAATAGGAATCGAAGATAAACAAATAAATTTCTTCTTGCCCATAAACCACCCAAACAATAACTCTTCTTGACGAATTATTAAACATAAATATAATCATTAACCTAAAGCAAAAGTAAAAGAACAAAAGCTAAAACGTTGAAATCGTGAAATATAAAATTTAACTTTTCTGGAAATGATTATGGAAATGTTGGGGGGTTTGTGTCCTTATTATTATTATTATAGATAGAAATAATGTTATGGAATCAGCGTCTAAACCGAAATAAGGAATCTCGGTCAGGAATGTTTTTCTCCGCAGCTTTTATCCGCTTTTGATACGCAATAATGTTCAGGGACGACTACATTCGCGTACCTATATGAAACCCGGCAAGAAAAATTCATTCTAGGCTAATTACTTTTCATACGTGTGCAGTCATGTATTGGTATTGTTCTTGTGCTTAAGGCGCATTCATTGCGTTGCCTTTCTTTCTAATGATACTATTTCCATTGATGCTGATATTTAGGAACGACCAGTATAATGCCAATTAAGGTTGATGTTTGAGAAACAATCAATAAAATATCATTTCTCCAGTACATTTTACAAATTATTAAAAGAATGTCGATTGAGGTTGATGTTTTAGAAACGATTAATAGATCAATTGACTGTAAAATGATTGGTAGAATGTTGATTGAGGTTGATACTTTAGGAACGACAAGTAGAGTGTCAATTGAGGATGTCGTTTGAGAAACAAACAATAGAATATCATTTCTTCAGTATATTTTAGAAATTATTAATAGAATGTCGATTGAGGTTGATGTTTTAGAAACAATTAATAGATCGTTTGACTGTAAAATGATTGGTAGAATGTTGATTGAGGTTGATACTTTAGGAACGACCTATAGAATATCAATTGATTATTACATTTTAGAAATGAACAGTAGAATATCGGTCAAGGTTGAAATTTTTGAAACGACCAGTAAAATAGCATGTGCCGCTACACTTTAGGGACGATGAAAAAAAAATATCGATTGACTGCTACATTTTAGAAAAGACCAGTAGTATTATTATAACATTTAACTTGGCACATTGGATCATGCAAGACCCCAGCCACTAAAAATGTTTCGTTTAAAGAAGCTGTTCATTATTTCAACTTTCAATACTCAAAATTTAAACGTTAAATATGAAGCAAAATTTAGAAACGAAAAGATTGAAAAATGTTGGCTTCTACAGAAAAATTCAAAATTTGTCTCGATTATAAACGCTAAAATTTTAGCTGAACATTCCTGAGATAAAAGTTTGAAGAAAAAAGTAGTAAACCGGGGTTACAAAGAAGGTATTCAAATTTTCAAGGTATAAAGTAGCTGAAATTGAAGCTAAATTGGCTGGGGTCGTTTCATACCCCAGTGTGATCGTTAAGGGTTAAATAACGTTTTTACCTTTATACAAAATTTGTGTCTTTTTTTTATACGTTTCGTACAAATGAAAAACTTCCTCATACTTGATACTGTTTCATTCCTTTATTTTCTACTTTTATTTTATAAAATGTTAGTTTTCAATTTGGTAAAAAAATATATTTGTTGTAATTTGTTGAATGTCAGCGATTGATAAACACAAAATTTGCTGGCCCACCCAATATATCAACTTTTAAACAATAGATTATTACAAATATATAAGTTTCTGCGAAGTATTATGCAACTCAACTACGTTCGGGTGTTTTCGCGTGGTAACATTATCATGTACGGTTATTTGAATCCACAGTACAGTCATCGACATTCTTAAAGCGATCTGAAACATCTGGACGGAATATTAACGAGGGTCGGTGAAGGGCTGGCGACGTTCTTCGGAAATTCCTCTTCCGTCGTTCGAGGGTACGAAACCGATCATCCTTCCACGCGTTGCGATCCGATCGTCCCGACTAAATTCCTCTCGTTTGTTCCTGTTTCCCTCGTGTCGATTTTATTTTTCATCAGCGAGTTAATTCACGGTGAATTATAGGGAATTTGCTGAGTGCGATCTCTTTGAACTTTTTGTATCTTCGATGAGATGCAGTTGTTCGAGGTTTCAGTCTGTACGAAAAGACGAGTTTAATTTTTAGGTTAGGAGTTGCGTAGTAATATTGCACGTTTAATTAAAATGTTATATGAAATGAAATAATTATAGTATAATTATGGTATAATTTACGTATTTGTGTAAGGTTTCTTGCTGTTTTAATTAAACGGTCGATTGTCTGTATTATTTTTATGGAACGTTATTTTTGTATGAGTATTTCAATGTTTGATTATTTTATTATTTGTTGTTTGACTGCTTTACTAGTTTACTATTTTACTATTTGACGATTTTAGTATTTTACTACTATTTTTATCGTTGCTACCATTTTACCATTTTAGCGTTTATTTGTATTATATTATTGTATTTATTATATTAGTAATTTTTTATTTTACTATCTTTTATTCCACTGTCTTATTGTTTCACTAATTTTCTAATTTACTATTTGATTATTTTACTGTTTTACTTTTTTATTATATTGTTACTTTAATATTTTACTAATTCACTACTTTACCAATTTACTAATTTACTAATTTACTAATTTACTGATTTACTGATTCACTGATTCACTGATTCACTGATTCAATGATTCACTGGTTCACTAATTTACTAATTTACTAATTTATTAATTTATTAATTTATTAATTTATTAATTTACTATTTTGCTAATTTACTACTTTACTACTTTACTGCTTTATTATTTTATTATTTTAATATATTACTATTTTATTATTTTGTTATATTGCTACGTATCTATTTTATTATTCTACTATTCTTCTATTATAATGAGTTAATTTTGCTGGTTTATCATTTGACTGATTTACAATCATACTCTTTTACTAATTTAATATCTTACTATTTTACTATTTTATTCTTTTACTATGTTACTATTGTACTATTATACTATTCCACTTTTTAAGTACGTCCACATTTTACTGTCCTATTATATTACTATTTTGTTATCATTTTTACTATTTCCATCGTTTCGCTGTTTTGTGATTGTATTTTTATCATTTTATTATGTTACCATTACTCTTACGATTTTTCTTGATCATTCTAACATTTCGAATTCAATTTAGACATCAATTCAGATCAATTTCTATTTAGACATCAATTCAAATCAGTTTCAATTTAGATAATACAACATCAGGAATCAATATCGTTCTGCAGTAATATTTCTCTAACGAAATTCCGTATTTTAAATCCGTCAAATGAGAATTATTTCTACGAGAACTAGAATGATATTTTACTGTTCCAATAGTTCGATGTTTAAAATACAAATAAACTAATTTCAGGAATTAACTACAATAATATTCCCGTAACAAAATTACTGGCACAAGCTGCTGTTAGGTTTTAGTGGATTCTTTTATCTTATCTCTAGAAACAGTAGAAATATTCAGAGCCGACAAAGTTGATGTCTCACCCCATACGCAAAGCATTTGCATGCGCTTGCGTAAAGGATTTGTGCATTGTATCGTAAAACTTAGCTGAAGAGCTTCCATTTTTACGGCAGGTGCATGATTTCAGAAGATAACTGGTACGCATATGCGTGGAGCAGATACATAATATACAAGGTGCTGCTCGTAACGGCGGGGAAGCCGCGATAAACTTGTAAAAAGGAAACTTTCGTAGTTTAAAGAAGAGAGATACTGATAAGAGCTATATACCGAAGAAATTAATTAACGTTTCTTTTAAATATTCATTATTTCGAACGAGTCTCTTCCTTTCTGTAATTTCTAACGTTGTATATTAACGTGCCGCCGGCATAAAGATCGTTGGAAGTCCCATCAGGACGCCATTTTATTCTTAATAAAAATAATTTGTTACTTGATATTATCGGTCATTAAATGGATGACAGTGAGATTAAAAATTTAATTGACAGTGATGGTCTAAAAATTTATA